TATTATATTATATTATAATATATTATATTATATTATATTATAATATATTATATTATATTATATTATATTATATTATATTATATAAGTACAAGCAAGGTTGACAGGAACATAAAATTGAGTATTGTCTGCATAAAAATGCAATGATACTCTATGCATACTAATTGTGATGAAGGGGAAGCATGTAAATTCAGTTCTATCAAGCTATTAAGTACCACAAAGAAATACCTGTCAAGAGGCAAGCCATATGACATTTGTCACTGATAAACACTATCTTTTTTTTTGGTAGCTAGCACAGCTAGGCATGATTACAGATTAGCCCTATGTGGCTACCACATGGGCATAGCCTTTTGGACAATTAATAATGACAAAACCATAGAATTGTTGAACTATGTGTGACATTACTTTTACAAAGTTGTATTTGTTATGTTACAGTAACTACCTAAAGTGTTAAATGTGCAACATTATTTTAATACTTATAAGAAGTGGTAACACTGGTCTATGGTGGAAATTCACAAGGTTTTGATAATAATAATATGCATTCATAACTTTTCTACCAAGATATGTTGTTGAATTTTCATGGGGTACGTAATCATTTATGACACTAGTTTCATGCTCTTAAATTGACTAAATTATATGTTGAAGCCTACTGAGGCTACAGAGAGGAGGAGTACCTGGCTGGCGTAGAAATGTCCATTGATTTTGACGATGACCTGGTCATTTTCATCAGGTGTCTGTTCCCTGGGGACCACCACCTCAGCTGCTGTCAGGTTCTGCAGCTCATTCACCTGAAGACACACATTCAGGCTACTTTAGGAGGAAGTGATCATTTTATATAATGTTGTTGGTTTGAGGTTAATTTTCAACTAGGCAACCAAGGCACGCTATGCTAGACAGAACTCAAGTGTAAGGTTCAGGTGGTTTACCGTCTTGCCTCCCTTGCCAATGACCCTTCCTGCAGCAGCAGCGGCCATCTTGATGTGAGTCTCCAGTTTGACCTCCTCCTTTGGACCAAAGAAGTTCTCTTCCTTCAGTTTGCCATAGATCCTGCCCTGGGCCTGCAGGAGAGATACAAAGAGGTTAATAATCCATTTTAATATTGTCTCAACCATGGTTTCTTCCTCAAGTAAGGGTCCAATTAAGATACTACGAAACTAAATGGGACAAATATTAATCAGATGGTTATGTGTTGAAAGTGTTTACCTTAAACTGAGCCTCAGGGGGTCCTGTCACAATCACCATCCTCATTTTAGAGTCAGGAGATTCAGCTGGGGCGATCTGGAGTAGAGAAAAGATACATCACTGACTGCCAAGGGTGTAGGTTTTGTTACAAAAGTGTGGTGACACAATGCAGTCATAGGTTCTTCAAGAAAAACATATTATTGTGCTTTTACTAGTACTGGTAGTCTAATAAAATAATTAGAACAAGTAGTCTGTATGTAACCAGGAAGAGGCAGAAACTCCCTGCTGACTAAGGGTGGCTTCAATGATTATACAAGCATTTTTATAAACTGAGAGCTAGATTTTAGCAGTTGGACAGTAAGAGGATGCTTTAGTGTAATTTTTTTTGCACTGCTATTGGAGT